GAGGTTCATTAATCACCCTCCCTGGCAACCTGTTCCTGCCGTTAATTACCCATTACCCTTTCTGGGGTAAAGATAAACCTCCTGGTGTCTGTTCTGACCTGACCTGTAAATGTCCTTTTGCAAATCCAAACCTCTTGTTCCCATTTCCCATGTTCCCATTTCCTGCGTTAACTTTTTTTCCCCAAACCCCAAAAAGCCAGCGATTTTGCTGGAATGCCTCGTGAAGCGTTTCTGTACAGTGAACCTTGTGGAAACGGAAGTATTGAACACAAGTCAATAACACTCTTGATTTACAAGATAGCTCTTTGCCATTCTCTGTGCTAGGCAGCGTATTGAGAACATTTCCAGAAGGGAAGAGATTGCACTAGCATTTCCGAAGGGAATTTTAGTGAAACGGAACACCTCATCATCTTTTGCAGCTAACTTTTGACGTCTTTGTAGATTTGTTTTTAACTGAAAAGATTTCCCGGGCGAAAAGCAGAAAATGTACATGAGGATATTATAGCATATGATCCCGTTCCTTTTTCTCATCAAGCCACCGCGCTCCAATCTGATTTCCAGGTCTCTTTCAGATAAGTTAATTTTAGCAGCGTCTCCGCAGTCACTTTGAATTTGCTTTATTCTGCGACTTTGCTCCAGAGGTCATGGACGTATAAAAAGTAACCTCCTGGGTCTGACTGCACCCCAGCCCTCAAATCAAGGTCATAACACACAATCTGTCTCAAAATATGTCTCCAACACATTGCACATCACTTAACGCCTTCACTTCAAACCTCTGATTTCTGAGCAAAAACGCAAGAAAAATAATATCCTTCCCTTGTCTTTGGGGTATTTTTTAACCTTCATTGACTGTCTGGCTATCAACTAGCCAAAAGTACTTAAGTGAAAACCACTTGGGGAAATTAAAACAATCTTCCCCCAATAATCTAAAAGCTTCTGTTCTAATGGTCCTGTGTGGGACAGATCATAAGCTTCTAATCCTACATTTACCTTATTGTCCGCTTGTAAACGACAAGTCTGAGTTTATTGACAATGGGGTGATGTGAATGAGATGCTCACTAGATCCAGAGAAGGTTAAATTCACCAAAGCTGGTGTTTAAGAGCTGCAAATGGAGTCCTGTAGCTCAGTGGTCAGAGCATTTGCCTCACAAGCGAGAGACCTGGGTTCAATTCCCGGCAGGGCGAAACGTTGGGCAAGTTTCCTTACTCCACACGCCTCTGTTTACCATGCAATAAGTTGGAACCTGGTTGTTAGTAGATTGATGGATCACTTTTCCGGGGGTAATAATTCCTTTAAAAAGAAATAATAAAATTGGTCACTCAATCCACGACTATTTGTGGGACACTGCTGTGCGCAATTGGCTGCCGCATTTTTGCCCATAAAATATACTGTCAATTCACTTTACAGTATATCCTATGAAGCACTTTGAGATGTCTCAAAGACATGATAAGGATGCAAAGATTATTATTATTATATGCATGTTATCATTGTTCTGTGGATGTTTTCAGTGAGTGCGACAGCCAATTTGCGCATTGCAGTGACCCACAGCCGTGAAGTGAATGAGCGATTTTAACTGTGGTGGTGGGCTGGAGTGAGGGGAGGGGTGAAACTGTTGACGAGGGCAGCGAGCAAAAAGACTCCGAAGGTTTGCGTAATTTACAATTTCCCACGCACTAACATCTCCGCTTTGATGTGCCAAAACGTTCACAAAAACTCTCACAGAGCTTAGCTTGACGCCACAATGTGTAACATTCCCCACTGATCCCTTACCTACAGAGAAGCAATTTACTTCTGTCACCGTTTATTCAACAAAACACAACAACAAACAACAACAACCTGCATTTATACAGTGGTCTTCACGTGGTCTAATTTCATCCAGTCCCCACCCTCCATTTCATCTGGCCCCCCCGCTCCTTCTATAACCCTCAAATGTTGTTATGTTGGCCTGCACTTGTCCACTAGTGAGGCTTTATTAATGAGTGAGGCTATCGGCTCTCTGAGATGTTATCCTATGAGAAGGAAGGGCGCTGGGTAAGATGTAGGTAGTGGTAAGTTAAATACTGGCCGATTTATCCAATTTACCCTCATCTCCAATACCCTTTGCAAATCGTTGCCTTTTACTCTCCATTGAGCCATTCATTTATATTCTTTGTATTTGATAGCACTTTGGGACCCTGCCCTGTGTAAGGGACGCTATATAAGTGCAAGTTGTTGTTGCTGTTGACATAGTACCTGATCACGTCATTGAGACGTCTCCAAATGCTTCATAGAATATATTGCAAAGTGGATTGACTGCATATTTTGTGGGCAAAACCCGACAGCCAATTGCGCACAGCAGCGTCCCACAAAGAGTCGTGGATTAAATGACCCAATTATTATTTTTATACAAGCACTCTGTGGAAAAGCTACAAATTTCATCAATATTGTGTCGTTTCTTGTAACAAAATGCTTGTTCTTAAATAATAGGGCTAATGGGAAAAGCTTCAATAATCCGATCACATCTTCTCCAGGTGGGCGACAGACACTGATCACATTATAATGACTCACCAGCCTACCACTGCACCGAGACAGACAGACAAACAGACAGACACACCAGTCAGTCAATAGAAAACTACTGAACAACATGTTGAACCAACGAACAAATCAAAGTAAGTAACAGATGAGTAATGATTACTGAAACCCTTTATTAATATCTCATTATTCAGCAATGCAGTGATTGTAAAAAATGCTATTGATTTCTTAAGCTCTCAAGGTTTGGCAGACAACCGATTAAGCCACTAATTTGGCAGCCCAGGACAGTCTGCAGAGTTTAAGAGAGTTTTTCCATTCCGACTTCATATTTTCAGCCAATGTGAAACATTTAGCGCCATTCATGGCAGTGAACGGAATTAATAATAATAATAATAATCCTTGCATTTGATATAGTGCCTTACCACTATATCTCAAAATATGTCAATGACATCTCAAAGCGCTTCACAGAATATACTATAATTTGTATATTATAATATATAGTATATCCCGTGATATACGAATGGGATCTAATGGGATTATACTGATATTATATATATGTGACTTCCACCTGGTTCTACATTGAGTTCTACCAGGTTCCTACTTACTGCTAGGTAAACAGAGGCGTATGGAGTAAGGAAACTTACCAACACTTCGCCCTGCGATAGCCAATTTGCGCACAGCAGCTTCCCACAAATAGCCATGAAGTGAATGACAACAACGACGTATTTAGATAGCACCCAAGAATAGTGTCTCAGAGCACTTGGGTAATTAAAACTATCCATGCATTTGATACAGCACCTTTCACGTTGGGAGGACGTCTCAAAGCACGTCACAGGATTTTACCGTAAAGTGGAATGACTGTGTGTTTTGTATTCCAACACGCAACACGTGAGGAAATGAGCACTCTCACGCAACAGCAGACAGTCTCACTAGTTATTGATGGAACAATGCGAGATGCTATCTCTCTCATCTCCAGCGAAACAGAACTCAACTGTAATGATACACTAGCACACATTTATGACAGTTCATTAATAACAACACAAATATTACTGGAGAAATAACCCTTGGTAATAAAAATCATTGCAAAATCAGTTCCCCATGATAGGAGACCTCTCTATCTCCTTCGCCCCTTTCACATAAATTAGCCAAAGGAATGGAATAGATAGGTTTAAATTTGTTTTTTGCTGCAATGTCCTGGGTGGGGCGAAACCTTAGGCAAGTTTCCTTACTCCACACGTCTCTGGTTACCTAGCAGTAAGTAGGAACCCGATTGTTAGTCGATTGGCGGATCGCTTTCCTTCAAAAATAAATAAATAATAATAATGTGGTCACTCAATCTACGACTGTTTATGGAATGCTGCTGTGCGCAATTGGCTGGCGCCTTTCATCCACAAAATATACCGTCATTTCACTTTATAGCATATTCTGTGAAGGGCTTTGAGACATCTTGAAGATGTGATAAGGCGCTATATCAAATGCAAGAATTATTATTATTAATGATGGAATCTCGCAGGATGAGGGGCGAAAGTGAAAATGCTGTGTTCAAAACTATAGCTCACACCGGGCTAAGCAGATCTTATTTCTACACTCGGGCGTAAAGGTTAAACAAATATTTGGAGGTTAGCATTAAAGGTTAATTGCTTACTGCATTTTGCTTACCTTGAAAACTCTATTGATTTCAGTCTCACCCTTCACATGATTGTGTATTTAATATATGGGAGCTACTATGGAGGCACACACCATGAATCCTTAAACAAGGCGTGCGACAATCTATGAAAATATACCAAAAGTGAGTCTGGAAATACACAAAATGTATTCTGGTCAAAATCTCCAGTGAATTCTTCAAAACTAGCAGGTTCCCTTGTTCAATTTTCAACCTCAACCTCAATAAGTTCCCCAAAACACCCACAAAATGATCCTAAAACACGACACAGCATTACAATACAAATTCACATTTATACAGTGCCTTTGACATGAGAACTCTCTGCAACACCGGCTAGGCACCTGAGCTGAGGAGGGAGAGAGATATTAATAGTGATCCTTGTATTTGATATAGTGCCTTATCACATCGTTGAGACATCTCAAAGCGCTTCACAGAGTAACCTGTAAAGAAGATTGACTGGATATTTTGTGGGTGAAACGTGACAGCCAATTTGGAACATCTGTGTTCCACAAACAGTCATGGATTGAGTGACCAAATAATTTTTTTTTTTTAAGGGATTATTACCCCAGAAAGCGATTTACAAATCGACTAATAATTGAGTTCCTACTTACTGATAGGTAAATAAGAGGCATGTGGAGTCAGTAAACTTGCCGAAGGTTTCGCCTCGCCCGGGAATTGAACCATGGTCCTCTCGCTTACAAGGCGAGTGCTCTAACCAATGTAGAGGGCGCCACAATGATGACTGAAAGGGCAGTCAAAGAGGTGGGTAATCGAGACAGATCATCCCTGAAAAAGGCAAATGTTAAAAAAAAAGAAAAGCCTTACCTTCTTGAACAGCTTGAAATGGATTGTTGGAATCCACGAATCGGACAGAGAAGGTTATTTTCTCGTTCTGCAAAATCTCTTCATTCATATTCACATCAGCGACAGCCAAGCGAAACATCTTGTCATCCTTTCTGGCAGATTCCTCGAAGATTGCACCTGAATGAAGAAGATATATCTGCATCAACAACAATAATACTTGTGCATTTGACCCGGCTCCTTACATAGTGCCGAAACGTCTCGAAGGAACCGAGGAACAGGAATAAACTATTCAGCTCCTTGAGCCTGTTCTGCCATTCTATTAGATCATGGGCTGATTCATTCAAAGCCCTTCATAAGATTTACTATAAAGTCTTATGACTCTATTTCGCAGGCAAACATGGCAGCCAATGAAGTGCCTAAACGATTTTGTCAGGGAGATTTTTAGCCAGGACATCAGGAGAGAAAGAAACTCGCTTTTCTCATCCGAAGGATGGCGTCTCTGACAATGCAGTGCTCCCCCCAGCACTGCATTGGAGCGTCAGCCTGGACTGTGAGCTTAAAGCCCCCGACGTGGGGGTTTGAACCCACAACTTTTTGACTCTGAGGTGAGAGCACCACTGAGCCAGGCTGCCGTGTGAAACTCATTCACACCGAATCCAATGGATCGGATGGATGGAATGAAAGTTAATTATTTGCAAATGCTGCAGGCAACTGAACTTTACATGATTACCTGCTTCAGCCAGAAATCATTCCAAAAGAGGTTGTAACAATCAGCTGTAAATATCCAGGCTGATTTGCATGGCTACAGAAAAATAAACACTGCATAAAGACTGTATTGATTACATGACTGGCTATCACAGGAGCATGACTAATTAGATCCATATAGAGATCAGAGGGTGGGAATCAACATTAACAATTTCATAGAAATAAGTTTAGCCTCTTTTACGTTTATTTTACAAAGGAATAGAGTGGAAAGTAGTTCGACTACTTTCAAAGAGCCGGAACAGGCACGATTGGCCGAATGGCCTCCTTCCTCGCTGTAAGATTCTATGATTCTTTGACACTGCTATTTGCCTTGACCATTGCGACACGAAAACCCCGAAATACCACCTTCCGCAAAATTATTTTACTGAAAATCCAAGATGGCTCACATTTGCGAAGAATTCTTAAATTCAGTCTCGATTTGGAAGCTTGATTCCAAATTCCAGAGACCAAGATCCCAAGTGAATAATCAAGGCTTTTCTTTTTCTTTGTGTAACAATAAACAGATCCAAAATGACCTGTTCTCAGGCCTGAAATTCCACCTAATCTTGGGTCACAACACGGTTTTACTCTTAAGATAAAAAAAAGTGGAAAATTCTCCTCCGAATGAAGATTACACTTTAGGGTTTTTTTTCCCCATGTTTCTGCACCAGCTTAACTTTATAATAATAATAATCCTTGCATTTGATATAACGCCTTATGATGTTGAGACATCTCAAAGTCATTCACAGAATATACTGTAAAGTGGATTGACTGTATATTTTGTGAGCAAAACACAGCAGTGTCTCATAAACAGTCATGGATTGAGTGACAATTTTTTTTCTGAAGGATTATTAACCCGGAAAGCAATCCACCAATTGTCTAACAATCTAGTTTCTACCTACTAGAAAGTAAACAGGAGTGTGGAATAAGGACACCTGTCCAAGGTTTCTCCCCATACGGGAACTGAACCCGGGTCCTCTCACTTGTGAGGATGCTAACCTCTACGCTACAAGACTCCCTTTTGACAGTATTCTGTACATTCACAATCAATCAATCAGTCAGTCAGTCCGCTTGAAAAGAGAAGAAGGGCAAACAAAGGAGTTCTTGCTTGGGAGAACTCTTGTAAAATCCTGGCGATGACCTACTCCAATTCCTGGACTTACATGAGGAAAATCGATCGCCTGAAATCGTATTGAAATCTCCTGTCTTTGCTCGGTTCCACTCTCAGAACTTCATTCTCCTTCCATAGCTCAGCTATTCGACAAGGTTACACAATGCTCACCTTCACGCTATCAGTCAGCCACTGATATTGATCCCTGCAGTCAATGCGCAGAAGCTCACTAAGCTAAATTTATTGGCGAGAGCTCAGCATGCATCAGCTCTCGATCCCAACCTTTATATAGGCTTGAAATGGATAGTGGTGACCTCGCTAAAGCCTCAGTTACACAAAGCTCCTGCCCTGAGGTAGTGTGAATCACTATTTCTCTCCCATCTCTCTCCGTCTTTACCTCCCTCCCTCCCAAGTGTCATGATAGTTAAATAACATTGCAACTTGAAAGGATATATTGTGGAGTCCTGGAGTGTCATGGTTAGAGCACTTGCCTCGCAAGTCAGAGGTTGGATTTCCTTGCTCCACACATCTCTGTTTATCCAGTAGTAAGTAGGAACCCGGTTGTGAGTTGATTGAGGGTTTGTTTTCCAGGGGGTAATAATCCCTCAAAAAAATGTGGTCACTCAATTCACCACTGTTTATGGGAAGCTGCTGTGTGCCATTGGCTGCCGCGTTTCGCCCACAATTCACTTTACAGTGTAACCTGTGAAACGCTTTAAGACGTCTCAATGACGTGATAAGGCGCTATATCAAATGCAAGGATTATTATAATTGTATCAAATGCAAATTATTATCTCCTTCACTGCTACCTTCATGGCTGACTCGATGGCTAGGCATGGAGTAATTAGATGCAGATGGGATGTAAAGCGTTAGCCAGATGTTAGTGGATAAAAGATTGCCACTAAATCAAGAAGATGACTATAGATGATTTGACTAAGAACGACCCCAGAGAACTGAATCAGCTTGTGATGAAAAGCCTGAACTGTTTTGACCCACACCTGATCACAGAGGTTGCAAATTTTCATGTGGCTACCAGCTATATGAACCCTTTAACTCACGAAATACGGACAGTGTCCTAGAAATTATATTCAACTCTTACTCCACGCTAAACTCGATTCAACTCATGCTGTAATTGGGAAGCCGAGTTAGGTTAAATCAAATCTAACTGTAGCTGTGCTACTGTAATCCTATAAATCAGGTTTATTATTAAGGTTACAATGACTTCAATGCGGTTTGAATCATGCTAAGTGATGGCCATCTTTGGAACGGCATTACAGTGGGGCCTGTAACTGAAGCTGGCGTCTCAGCACAGGACAATTAATTTTTAAGAACTCTAAATGTCCACAACGAGGTGTAACGCATTTTTATGGTTCCGTGTTAGGCAGTAAATCACCAGGACTCTGCCAGCGGTTTGATCAACAAATGGTGCAGTAAAAATAATGCCTCAGAAAGCAGGAACTATTACTTAACCCTATTCCAAAGGCCACCTCATAAAACCTTTCAAAGTGATACCCAGCGATGAAATATTTTGTCACGTCTGCTTACAACGTGGGATTTAACATTCTGGATCCAAACCTTCCGTTATAACTGCCCAGTCAGTAATGTGGCTGTCAAGAGTACCGTCGACTGTTGTGTTCAACTCTTGGTAGGTGTCTTTTAAAGTGCTTTAAAAGTCAATTTTCTAACGCAATCACAAGATTTTGGTCACTCATTCCACGACTGTTTGTGGGGCGTTGCTGTGCGCAATTGGCTGCCGCGTTTCACCCACAAAATACACAGTCAATCGGCTTTACAATATATTCTGTGGAGCGCTTTGAGATGTCTCAATGACATGACAAAGCACTATATCAAATGCAAGGTTTATTATTATTGTATGCATATATATGTATATAAGATGCTTTGCACTACCTTCAAGGCCAGAATTATCCCAGCCTTCCCACCTACACCATTTGAAGGTCTAATATGCTCGTAGTGGGAGCTTTCATCCTCCCTCTCGTTTGTAACCTTCCTTTTCAGTAATAGAAGAGTTCTGGTCAACGATCCCACTGGCACTCAAGGCATGCCAAGTAAACTTTACAAAGTGCTTATTTCACCTGAAAAAAAGACCAAGGTCCATCCAATTCACCTTCCACCATTCCTGGCAGTCGCATGCACGTGTCACAATAATAATAATAATAATAATAATAATAATAATAATCCTTGTATTTTATATAGCGCTTTTCATGTTTTCTAGATGTCTCAAAGCACTTCATAGAATAGACTGTAAAGTGAATTGACTGTATATTTGTGGGCGTCATGTCCTGAACTACTGAACTTCAGAACAACCGTGAGGGGCTCACTCCCACTTTGCATCCGACCAGATAACCTCTAATGAGCACGTGCAAAACCTTAATTAGATCCCAGGCTCAACCACCACAAGTGGGTGGTTGAGCCTGGGATCTAATTAATTAATCTAATTATAGTCAGTACCAATATCCCCATAAACACAGGGGCCATTACAAGCTGCTCAACATTAGGTCTTTTGTTTTTGCTCAGCTGGGTGTCTGACACGTGTGGAAACCCATCACCATGCTTAAGAGTATCCAAACCAAGCTCAGAAATTCCATGCATCCCACCTATACATAGAAGTTCCAGAGATAGATTGTTGAAATGAGCTCAATTCAACCCAAAGCTCAAAAAATAACGCAGAGAACAAAATAGCTGGCATTCGTAAAGCATTTGTTGAACCCGTGGGTCCTAACATTATAAACCACCTTATCTGAATTCTACCTGTATGTAATATTATCAGAGCATTATTCATTCAACTATTGCCGTGCATTACATCACCAGTGATCCAATAAGCTATATTTGCTTTTTGTTTGAAAATAAAAATCTCGCAATACCAAGCTGTTTTGTTCATATATACGCATATATATATATATATATATTTTATTTATCTTTTGGAGATGTTATATTTCATGTGTTTGGGTAGAGAAAGAGAAACTGTTGCGTTCCAGAGATTAAGTTATTTATTATCTGATGAATGATGCAGTCTTGAAGGCAATGATCATGCTCGATCAATCTCAGGATACACTCACTTCGTTTCCAATTAATCTCACCCTAAGAGGTGCTTCGGAGATGCTGCTGGTAACATGAAAGGCAATGTGTCAACAAACGTTATCTCCGTGACCTGGGCACAAAGCACGGGGAGGTTGACCTCGAAGGCGGAGGTGTAGTCAGCTACAGTTAACTGAGTTCATGAGTCAGTCAGTGTAATGGACCATGTGTGGCTTCTTGTACCTTAGTGGTTAGAGCACTCACCTCGCAAGCGAGAAACTTGGGT